CAAAAAAGAATATTCTCTTTCTTTTTCTTTTTATTAATAATAAACAATTAAATGATTAATTAAATATTGTGAATGATATGTTTATTAAATAATAATAACTTTAAAAATTATACTAATTTAATAAAATTAAGCATTTATTTAATCAAATAAACATTACATTTAATATAAAAAAAATATTACATCTAATATAAAATGCCACTAAAAAAAAAAAAAGATGACAACAACACAAAATTAAAATTCCATATTGATAGTAATTTAATTTTCCGAATTAGTATATTCTTCCCTCAAATGATCAATTAATGCATTTTGAAGAGCATGGGGAGCCTCTGTATCCTTGATTTGTTTATGTCGAGCAAGAAAATTTTGAAATTTGACATTTTCATTTACAACAATTTCAACTTCGGGAGTTGGCGCTTCCATCTGATTCTCAATCGATGCATCAACATTACGATCATCCTCGATTATCATGTTATCCATAATAATACACGCAGTCATTATATCATGTAATACATTTTTTCCCAAAAACGTGTCGATCCTGCCACAATTTCAAACCGTGATTGGAGAACTTCAAACGCACGTTCCACATCTTTTCTACATCTTTCTTGTTTCATTGCAAATAATTTGTTTTGGGATCACGTGGATTGTGAATAGTTTGTACGAGAGTAGACCACTTTGGGTATATACCATCAACTAAATAATAACCCATATTATACTCTTTTCCTTGAATGATATAATGAGCGGGATGAGCAATACATTGAGTTAGGTTGGCAAACAGATGAGATGCCTCCAAACATTAATGTCATTGTTGGAACCTGGCAAACCAAAAAATGCATGCCATATCCAAAGATCATAATCAATTATAGCCTCGAGAATAATAGTTGGGGATCCACCATGACCAACATATTGTCCTACCCAAGTTGTTGGACAATTTTTCCACTTCCAGTACATACAATCTAAACTACCGAACATTCTTGGAAAACCACGTTGTTCACCAATATGAAGTAGCCTTGCAACATCATTAGCATTAGGTGATCTTAAATATCGTTATGCAAATACCTCAACAACAGAACGACAAAATCTCTTCAAACTTCCAATGGTTGTAGACTCGCCTATTTTAATATACTCATTAGTAGTATCTGCCGGTAGACCATAAGCCAAAATCCGGAATACAACTGTTATTTTTTGAAAAGCAAACAATCCGCACCTACCAAGCCCATCCTTTCATTGTACAAAGTAGTTATCATGACCTTTCACGCGATCAACAATACGAATGAATAAATTTTGAGATATTCGAAATCATCGGCAAAACATGGAATCATTATACCATGGATTATCAGCAAAATAATCGTTAAACAGATTGCTATCAACAATTTTTCGATTACGATTGATGACTTTATGACCAGGAATTGATCATCTACAGATCACCTGGTTGTTTTGTTGATTGAGATAGTGAAGGAGGACAAGGTTGTTGTTAGCTCTCATGCGAATGATTGCTTCTTGCTCTGCATCAATCGCTTCAAGATCATTCATCAATTCCTCGTCATCAATTTCATTGTCAGAAAATGATGATGAATTAGAAGATGATAAATGAGATGGACCTCCAAAATTGAAATTCATCTTTGTAGATATATGAGTTGAATGATTTGGAAGTTGATTTGGTGTGAGCTTTTATGGTTGAAGAAAATACTATTCTAGATAAAAAAATAATAATTCAAAAAGATGTATTGTCCATTCCAACTTTTAAGATTTGTGACTTATTTAAAAAGATGTATTGTCCATTCTAGCTTTTGAGATTTGTGGCTTACTTCAAAAGATGTATAGTCCATTCAAGCTTTTAAGATTTGTATCTTATTCAAAAAGATGTATTGTCCATTCAAGCTTTTGAGATTTGTAGCTTATTTATTCAAGCTTTTGAGATTTGTGACTTATTGAAAAAGATGCATTGTCCATTCAAGCTTTTGAGATTTATATCTTATTCAAAAAAATGTATCGTCCATTCAAGCTTTTTAGATTTGTGGCTTATTTCAAAAGATGTATTGTCTATTCAAGCTTTTGAGATTTATATCTTATTCAAAAAGATGTATTGTCAATTCAAGCTTTTTAGATTTGTGGTTTATTTCAAAAGATATATTGTCTATTCAAGCTTTTGAGATTTGTGGCTTATTCAAAAAGATGTATTGTCCATTCAAGCTTTTAAGATTTGTGGCTTATTTCAAAAGATGTATTGTCCATTCAAGCTTAAAAAGATGTATTGTCCATTTAAGCTTAAAAAGATGTATTGTCCATTCAAGCTTAAAAAGATGCATTGTCCATTCAAGCTTTTGAGATTTGTACCTTATTTCAAAAGATGTATTGTTTATTCAAGCTAAAAAAGATGTGTTGTCCATTCAAGCTTTCAATTCAAACTTTTGTTATAAAAGAGCATACAACACATCAGTTTTGAACACATCTCTTCTATTTCCTCTTAGAAAAAAAAAAAAAAAATGACTGCACAACGAAGTTCTTGTACACAAATGAAGAAGACATGCATCTATGTCATATTTATCTTGATGTTTCTCAAAACCCGATTTTAGGTATAAACTGATCTAGCGATCAATTTTTGTCTCAAGTTGAGCTTGACTACAACAGTTCCAAACTCGTGTTTCTCACTTAGGTTCGAAACAAAAGATCTTTGCATAGTCGAATGCAACTGATCTTTAAAGCTATTGGCAAATTGAGGAGATGCGTACGTCAAATTGAAAATATGAATCCAAGTGGTGCTTCTGAGCAAGATATTGTGAGTATTTGTTACATTTAATTATTATCTTTTTTTTTTTTATCTAATTGATTTTAACGTTATATGTATATTGTTTTGTAGATGATTCAAGCCAAAATGTTACTGGCACAAGATAAAAGTTACAAGAAAGGTTTCATATTTGATCATGTGTGGCCTATACTTAAGGATATTGAAAAATTTACAGATAATGTTAACGACGTAGAAGTATTTCAAAGGAAAACTGGTAGGTTTGTATCATAAGAATCAGAGACTCCCACTTCAAAGTCTCCTCAATCGGTGTCTTGTGATATGTTGTCATATTCTCTAAACATAAATGATGAAGATATTGGGGGTAGTTCAACTCAACGACCCATTGGGATGAAGAAAGCAAAATTAAAAAGGAAAAATGATGAAGAAGTTTCAAACCAAATTAAAACAATTCAAGAAGAAAATCGACAGCTCGCTGCTATTTTCAATTGGGGCAACTCAGCTAGGGCACAAAATTATGAAATTCAATAAAAAATTGGCCTTGGTAGAATATCGAGAAGATAACAAAATTTTATTCAAGGGTTTGAATTCCATAACCAATCAAAGTCTGCGTGAATTTTTTCAAAATGAGCAGTCAAGAATTATGCAAAAAAGAGCTCAACAATAAGGTCAAAGATCTCAAAATAGCTCTAGTTCTTTCCAATATTTTGATGATCTTAAAGGATCCGAAACTAATCTACCGGAATACTAATTTTTTTTTTTTAGTTTATGTTGTATTTTCTTTTAATTTTAGTGTTTTTAAATTAGTGTTAATTTTTATTTTAAGTTATTGTAGTTTAATATTTGCATTGAATAAAGTTTTGTTTTTAATTTTTCATCATTTTTTGAATTATATAATTATTATGAATTTATTATTATAAATATTAATATAAATAATAATTAAATTAACATAAATACAAATAATAAAAATTAGAAAATAAAATATATTTTATAGTAGATAAATAGTGCCACACCAAATTTGGTGTAACACTATTCACTTACACCAATTTGGTGTAGTTTTTGGTGTTGGGTTGGAGCAAATTTTCCACACCATTTACACCAAAATGGTGTTGGGTTGGAGATGCTCTAACAACCTAGAAGAAGTGTTGGAAGTTAGAAAAGACTCACCTGTGTGGGAAATAAGGACTGTCTATCCATTCCCAACTTGTACATTTGAACCACCATGATAGTTATCCTTGATAAGCAGATTGTTGGCATCAACTATCATGTGATTTGTGGCACCATAATCCATAAACCAGGTTTGATCAGTAAGTGTATGAGGCGTAGCAACTGGTAAGTTCTGAGGAGTTGTTGAGATTGAAGATTGATAATGTTCTGTACATGCACCAGTACTTTGATTGCCAAATACAAGTATAGATGTTTGAGGTACTTGAGATAGGTAGTGCTATGGAGGATAAGTGGTTGGCTGCTGTGCAAAAGGCATAAAACCAGAGTAGTGATTCTGGAAAGTTTGTGTGCCAGGTAAGGTTGAGTTAACCATTACAGGAGCAAGTCTATTGAAAACCTATCCAGGCTTGACCTTTGCAGGTAGTAAAGCCTGCGTTGATTCATTGGATTAAGCTGAAGTTAGAGCTATTGGTGTAGTGAAAGGAGAAAATCCAAGTACAGATCTAAGGGCTATAAAACATTGAAACTCTTGATCAAATCTGTGGTGACATTGCAAAGCCGTGTGTCCTCTTTTACCACAGACTTGACATCTTAATTTGGGCCTAAAATAACCTTTTCCCCTACCTCTATTTCGCATCACACTAGGATTGAACATGTAAAATTGATTCCCAGGAGTAAAAACAATTCTAATTTGTGAGTATTATTGAGAGTATGGAGAATTAAAATCAGACTGAATTCCTTGATTCATTGCATTTCCTCCCAACTGATGAGTATTAGGCATATGTTGGTGATAAAAAGACTGACTTGGAGATTGAAGATTTACCAAAGGCTGAGGTTGAAAACCAAAATAGTTCTATCCATGACCAAAATTTCCAGTACTTGAACCAAGAAGTCCAAGATTTCCAGTATTTGCATCAGTATTTGCAAGATTTCCAGTATGTTGCAAGCTTGAGGAAGACTCATTTGGATTTTGCTTGGGGACCAAAAGAGCAGAAGCCATTTGTTCATGAAAGCTGGATAACGAATTTTGTTGTCTCTTTGGTCTAATCTCATGTTTATGGAGAAGAAATTACCCTTATTATAATGTCATCTAACTACTAGTAGACACCAAATTTGCCACCATGGCATCGTACTTCGGCCCCAAACCATCCAATATATACAACACAAGTTCTTCATCTGTTAAATTCACGCCACTCGCAACTAATTCGTCTCCCAACTCTGTCACTTTCAACACGTACTCACTCACACTACAAGCTTTTTTCTTAGTAGTTTGTAAAAGATTTCTTAAGTGCAAAGTCCTAGCCTTAGATACTGACTGAAACTGAAGCTCTAAAATGTTCCAAATTTCATATGAAGTGCTGCATTTAGCTACATGACGGAACATTGATTATGAGATTGTGGAGTAGAGCCAACTTACCAAGAATTGGTCAACTTTTTTCCAAGAAAAATAGCTAGGGTTTGGCTTCTTCACACTTTGACCAGATTCATCTAGCTTTTCGAATACAAACATCGGTGGACATTCCTTTTCACCACTGACGAATCCTTCGAGACCATGAGATGTCAATGGCAGCAAGATTTGAGACCTCCAAAAAGAGTAATTTTTCTCCAATAATTTTACAGAGATTGAAGGTAAAGCTGGTAGAACATCCAAAGTAGTGAAATTGGAAGTATGAACATCCATGTTTATCAGGTCAAATTTGCAGAGAAAAAAATTCAGATTATACAAAAACAAAATTAACCTTAGACGTTTGTCTATGGTTTTGATACCATGAAGAAAATCAAGAAAGCTAATGGAATAGAAGAAGAATCTGTTATTTTTTCATTATTTCTAACTGAAACAAAGTACATCTTTATATAGTCGCTGCTTTGCATAAAACGGTAGTGTTTCTTCATTTTTCCTATTTAGACTCAAGCCACATGACTTTTACAACTATTACAAACTAAACCCAATTGTAATGGACCTACTTTTAACTTCAACACCTTTGCTTAACACTACCTGAGTGATGCAAGAATTAATTCCACCCAAGGTAGGGTCACAAGACTTCATATCATTATGCGTGCAGCTTAGAATGTTTAATTTCACTGCAAGAATGATGTTTTATTCCTAGAACTTAAGTTTCTCATCATGTATTTATCTTCAAGTTTTTTAATTGTAAAAGATATGGAAAACCTGATACCAAATGTTTTCTCCTAGTTTTTGTAAGAAATGTTGTGTATGTTTTATGATAATGGAAATGAGGAAATGTTTTATGATGTATATTCAAAATACAGGTTTTATGGTTTCCAATTTTAACCACATGACACATCTCAATCCCCCAAGCCTTATGGGTGCGCTTGGAGACTATGAGATAGGTCGGGGCCGGTTGTGTCACAAATAACCTGAAAAGTGTTTAATTAGATGCTTGTATACTGTATATTTAACACATTCATGCTAATTTCCAAACCACCATCTAGTCAATTGTCACTATACTCAATAAGTATAAGAGTATTTCATTAAATATATAAATTTAGCAAAGTTGATCCAATCAACTCAATGTAAAAAAGAACAGGTGCAAAACAATAGGAGACAGTGGTAAGTAAGAAATTAATGGACCTGTTCAGTAGTAACGTGATTCAAGAAACTTGAAAGAAAAGCATAATACTAGCTCTGAATGTCATATTCTTAGTTTTTATTTCATAGATTTCCGCCCATTGTCCATATTATACAAAGCTTCTTAAGTAATTATACAAGTTACCTGGAAGTGTCCATATCAGTTTGTGTACACCTTAACTAATTTTTCGGGGTCTTGAAGTTGACAACCGGATAAATCTCCTTAGTGATCACCTTTATTAGGGCCTATGGGGACTCGAACTTAGGAATCTATGTTAAACCCTTTTACTCTTTTACCATCAGACCACTCAGTGATTGTTAGTTCTAGTTTATATTCATACATTAAGAAAATTGACAGTAATTTTACCAATACATAATTGAGAGCAATAAATGAGAAGTATAAAATTTTGAATTGGTCAGACACGTTAATGAATCAATACGAGTAATTGAAAAATGGACCGATTCAATAACTTATTCTAGTTTTTCATTTTGAGTAATACTACAAATACAATATGATGTGACAAAAGATGTTTGAATGAAAATTTATTTTTAATTTAAAATTAATCAATCATTTTTTGTCACAATATTATATGAGAAATGTTATATAAGAATATTAGATGTGAAATGTTATACAAGAATATTGTATATAAAATGTTATATGAGAATATTGTGTGTACCGTATTATACTTTTATTTTTATATATATCTGCCCATTGTCAATTTAAATTATTGAGCCCAGAGCAGGTACAAAAGATTGTTGATAATGACAGAATCAATTAAGAATAAATTAATGCATTTGACAAAGTAGTCCAAGTGTGTGTGTGTATAGTCCGACTGAATCAATCAGTGATTAAGTACCGCCGTCACATTATTTTTTTAAACCATATACTTAAATTTAATTGACTTTTTTAGATTACACGTTTACTTAAATGGGACAAATTCAAAACCTTTGTAAACCGAAATAGATATCTTCCCTAGATGACATTGTTTTAGTTAAGCTGTAAAACTTGAGCTTCTGAGAAGTAACTTTAGTTGGCCAGGTCCAAGATTGACCAAGCTAATAACTTCTCTATCTCTTTCAATTTCTCCCTATAAATAAGTCGAAAGGCAAGCAAAACTACACCACAAAATACTCAAAACTTGTAAGAGTTTCTAATACTACTGCTAGCAATTAATGGTTTCACCTAGCACATTCCAGCTTCGTTTCTTTCTCATCTTGGCTCTTGCAACCACAGTTTTCTCAGCAACATTAATTGTCTCCTTCTTACTATGAGCAGTTGTGTCCCCAAGCTTTGCCAACCATCAAACGAGTAGTGGAAGCTGCTGTTCACAGAGAACGCCGCATGGGTGCTTCTTTACTACGTCTACACTTTCATGATTGTTTCGTTCAAGTACAACTCTAAACTGTTAAATTTTTATCTTTCATTCCATGAATTTAATCTTCTGATTTATGATTAAGTTTCGTTGCATGCATTCTAATGTAGTTTATCTTTGTAATGTATGTAGGGCTGTGATGCCTCAAATCTTCTAGATTCTACATCCACCATCGACAGTGAGAAGAATGCAAACCCGAATAACAATTCGGCCCGAGGATTTGAAGTCATTGACCAGATTAAGAACGAAGTCGACAAGATTTGTGGACGTCCTGTGGTTTCTTGTGCAGACATTTTGGCTGTTGCAGCTCGTGATTCTGTTGTTGCGGTGTGTATATAGCAACCCAGCTCTATCCTATTTAACATTTTTGTTTCGGGTTTTTTTTTTTTTTTTTCCTATGCTCATCTCTCTTGGAGATCCCATATCGACTAGGCAAGCTCAAACTAATGGATTTATAAGAGTGGACAATTCTCCCACTCAATAAGGCCTTTTGGGTGAGGAGTTAGGCCCAACTCAAATTCTAACATGGTATCAGAGCCAGTCCCATTTGAGTTGAGTGATTGACCAGCAGTGGGCTGCCAGACTATCTCCTTTCATAGGCAAGTGGACCATATGGGCTTGACCGTGAAGGGGAGTGTTGGAGATCCCATATCGACTAAGCACACTCAAGCTAATGGGTTTATAAGAGTGGACAATCCTCCCACTCAATAAGACCTTTTGGGTGAGGAGTTAGGCCCAACTCAAATTTTAACGATCTCCATCAAAGATACAAAGAATTCACCAATCAAAATCAATTAGAGATTAAATTGAGAAATGCAGAAAATTTGCTGCTTTTCTTCTTATGTCTAATTTTATGTTAAAAACCGCAGCTCGGAGGGTCAGCATGGAACGTACCACTTGGGAGAAGAGACTCAACCACAGCTAGCCGGACCTTAGCCGACAATGACCTCCCATCGCCAACCATGGATCTCACTGAACTAATCAAAATCTTCAAAAATCAAGGCCTAGATGAAAGAGACTTAGTGGCGCTCTCTGGTGGTCACACTCTTGGTTTCGCACAATGTCGTTTCTTTAGAGCCAGAATTCACGACGAAAAAAACATCGACGATGACTTTGTAGAAGATCTCTAAGAGAATTGCCCACGTACAGGAGGAGACGGCAACCTTTCTCCATTAGACCCAACACCTGCACGCTTCGACACCGGGTACTTCTCAAACTTCTTGGAGGAGAAGGGGCTTCTTGAATCGGACCAAGCTCTTCTCAGTGGTGGCTCAACTGATGAACTCGTGAAGACTTACAGCCACAATTTAGACGTTTTCTCTGCTGATTTTGCAAACTCTATGATTAAAATGGGCAACATAAAAGTGTTGACCGGGAATCAGGGTCAAATTCGTTCAAACTGCAGGAAGCTGAACTAATAAGCAGTTGTTTTGCATTTTTGTTTTCATTTAAATTTGTTTAATTTGTTAAAAAATTGAGTAAGATTCTTTGAGAAACAATGTCTTGTTCAATAAAAGGCTTGTTCTTTGTTCCTTCCGGGTGTAGCTTCTACGAAGCCTGTAATTCTTTTATCTAGATACGCAAATTTACAAGTTCAATCATCATGTGTTGATATAAAAATTGTTTGTACGAATTTGAAAGTTAAGATTAAGGAATATGCGTTCGGAAATTCCTAATACTAAGTTTATCCACAATGTGTAATAATGTCAATTATGTCCGACAATCAAATAAAATTGATTATGTCTAAATTAGCAATCAGCACGCAGCGACGGAATCCTATTAGTATTCATCAATGCACTTTTGATAGTATTAAGATTTGTCTTAGGTAGGAATATATATATGGCTATAGTTTATTCCTCCACAACTTTCATACCTTCACTCTTGTTGATACAGAAATCTGCACCAACTAGAGCGATCTGATGTAAAGAAATAAAGCTTTGTTGTGAAGAGAAAGATTTTATTAATCTTTTCACTTAATGAAAACAGAAAGCATGTTGCCTTTCATACAGATTCCTTTAACTATGACTAACTAACTGCAGTTACAAAACCAACTCTAGTTAGTTTTTTAATTTGAAAGCAATTCATCATTTAGCATCCTCCCTCAAGCTAGGCAAAACCTTGTTTTAGCTTGCTTAACAGAGTAAAATAGAACTGATGCAGTAGAACCCCGTAGAGCAGAAGCTTCATACAGAACACAGCTTCAAGAGAACAGATGCAACGGCAGAAAGAAATCCTAAAAGTGCAACAGCAAACAATAATGCAAAACTACACACATATTCTAGAAGAATACAGCTGTATCAGTCCAGAAAAAAAACAGTAGTGCAACCTAGCAAACATCTTCCAGAAGGAGACTGTAGTAGCAGTCCAGAAAAACAGCAGTAGTGCAAACAACAAACATCCAGAAACATGCAGTAGTGCAAACCAGCAAACATCTTCCAGAAGGATACTGCAGTAGCAGTCCAGAAAAATGCAGCAGAATTTACTCAACATTATTAAAAAAGAAAAAAAATAATGCAACTTCAACTAGTCAACATCCTCCCTCAAGCGAAACAAAGGAGAAGCTTTGATGAGTTTAGCCCGAAAAATATTAAACTGAGTAATAGGCAGCGGCTTAGTAAAAATATCAGCAAGTTGATGATCAGAAGAAATATACTGAACTGCTAAGGCTTTTGACGCAATCTTTTCGCAAATAAAGTGAAGGTCAATCTCAATATGTTT